CGGACCCCCGTGCACGCGGGGGGCGGACGAGGGTCCGCATGCGGACTGGGCGTGGGGTGGGGAGGGGGAGAGGGCGAGATGCTCATGTCTGGGGTAATCCGATAAGGGTGTTGGGGAAATGGGCTGGTAATTCAAGGGAGGTGAAGGGGGGAAGTGAAGAACTGACCCATCCCAGACACCCCACGTCCTCACATCCCTCTTTGGCGCTGGCAGCTGGGCCGCAAAACGCGACGCAGACGGGGTGTACACGGGAAAGATAAATAAGGCGGAAGAGACGGATGACGGAAGGAGTGGGGATCAGGAGTTGGGGGTCGGAGAACGGAGGGGGAGGGGGCAAAGGAGGTGGCGGAGGAGAGGGAGGAGCATCGGGAGATGGAGGAGGAGAAGGGAGAGGGAGGCGGTGAGAGAGGATGGGGGAGGAACGAGCAGCGCGTAGCAGTGAAGGAGAAGTTTGAGACTTCGCCAAAGGATTGGTGGGGAGTGCGCCTTGCGCACCTCCTTGGCTCGTTCCCTTTCTTTGCCTCCTGTCGCTCATGCATTATGGCGTCTCCTCGTTCTACTGCCGCCCTCCTTTTTGTGGCTGGGGGCCACCGCTCTCGTTCAGTATGGCATGAATCGCAGTCGGTTACCTGACGTGTTATGCCACATCACATCATCATAATGCTGCACGCCATAACGCATAGCCTTGCGTTGTATTGCATAGCGCGCTCCATAGCGCATGGCAGTGCATGGGATTGCACATTGCCTTGCACCATGAGTTGCATTGCATTGAATTGCACAATGCAGTAGCGTTTCTGGAGACATGGTTTGGGTATGTCTGACCGCTTAGAACGACCCGATTGCCCTTCGGAGTCAACTGAGGAATTGACGGCAAATCGCCCACTCCAGATGCGACCATGCTTCACCTGCTTGCTACTCCTACTTGCTGCCGTTCTGGCCTTCCATGCAATGCTGACCCAATGGCCGAAGTGAAGTTTGAAGTTGGCCGAAGAGGGCCTTCAAGAGGCAGAAATCGGCCCGCTCCCGTTGTACAACGTACGTTTTCAGCATACTTGCTTGCTTGGTCCTCGCAGTGCCCCAGACGCCCCCGAGCCCCACAAGACAGCCCAAGACAGACCCAAGAGGGCCCAAGACGGCCCAAAAGGGTCGTCCTGTGAGGCTCACGGAACCCCCAAGACGGCCCAAGAGGCCCCAAAGTTGGCCCAGGAGGCTCCCAACACGGCCTCAGGGAGTCCCAAGAGGGCCTCGTTCGAAATCATCTTCCCAGAAGTCTCTCCGGGAACATGATTTCCTGGTTCTCAGGACGCCCAAGAGGGCCCTAAGACGGCCCCAAAAAGCCTTCAATGGACGTTCAAAAAGGCCCGGAGGGCCATAGTTCGTTGATTTGCGCGAGATGTTGTTGGATTTCTTCCGCGCGGAGGAGACGGAGAGGGCGAAGGAGGAGGAGGAGGAGGAGAAGGAAGAGGAGAAGGAGGAGGAGGCGGGGAGGAGGAGTGGAGGGGCGGAGGGGGGGAGAGAGGAGGAGGCTCGAGGGCGATCGACGATCGGAGACGACGACCGGCGACGGTTATTGACGACGACGACGACGACGGTCGACGACCGACGACGACGACGATAGAAGACGATGACAACAGTCGACGTCGCCGATCGACGAACGACGGCGACGACGACGACGACGGCCACGCCGACGGCGGCGACGCTGTCCGCGTGCGCAAAGCCACCCTGGAACCAGTCTTTTCGGCATCGTTCGAAGCCCTGTCCCCGGAAGCGTCTCCGGGAACATGATTTCAGGAGGAGGAGGAGGAGGAAGAGGAAGAGGAGGCAGATTAGGAGGAGGAGGAGGAGGAAGAGGAGGAGGAGAGGAGGATGAGTGGGCGGAAGGGCTCGGGGCCGATCGACGATCGGCGACGGTGATTGGCGACGGTGATTGACGATGACGACGACGGTCGTCGACGGCGACGACCGACGACGACGACGACGATGGACGACGATGACAACAGTTGACGCCGCCGATCGGCGAACGGCGACGACGATGACGTCTTCACAGTACCACCCCGACGAGCCCCAAGACGGCCCAAGAGGGACCCAAGATGACCCATGATAGCTACAAGCCAGCCCAAGAGAGCCCCAAAAGGCACCCAACAGAGCCACAACGGGGGCAAGCAGAGCTGCCTATAGAGATTCTCGGGAGGCCTCTTCCGCAGCGTCCGAAATCATGTTCCCCGGAGCCCCTATAGGAACATGATTTCGGGGTTCCCAGGACGCCCAAGGGGGCCCTAAGACGGCCCCGACAAGTCCCAAAAGGACGCTCGAGAAAACCCGGAGGGACACAGTTCGTTGATTTCCGCGACATGTGGTTGGATTTCTTGCACGCGGAGGCGGTGGAGGAGGAGGAGGAGGAGGAACAGGAAAGGAGGAGATGGGCGAGGAGGAGGGGGAGGAGGAAGAGGAGGACGAGGGGGGGAGGAGGGGGGTGGAGAGGGAAGGGGGACGGGGGGAGGAGGAGGGAAGAGGGATGATGATGATATTGATGATGATGATGGTGATGATGATGATGATGATGATGATGATGATGATGATGATGATGATGATGATGACGGGGAGGAGGGGAGGGGGGGGGAGGAGCAGGAGGAGGAGGAGGAGGAGGGGGCGGAGGAGGAGGAGGGGAGGAGGAGGAAGGAGGGGGGGGGGGAGGAGGGGGAGGAGGAGGAGGAGGAGGAGGAGGAAGGACGAGGAGGAGGAGGAGGAGGAGGAGGGAGGAGGAGGAGGAGGAGGAGGAGGGGGGGGGGGGGGGGGGGGCGGAGGAGGAGGAGCAGGAGGAGGGGGGGAGGATGTGGAGGAAGAGGAGAAAAGGAGGAGGAAGAGCAAGAGGGAGGCCTCCCCCGAGTGTTCCATGTATCCGATGTGGCCCAATGCTTGCGCGGCGTCGCAGTGCCGTTTGGCGAGCCATGTAGTCCGAACAGGAGGAGGAGGAGCAGGAAAAGGAGGAGTGAGAGGAGGAGGAGGGGGAGGAGGAGGAGGAGGAGGAGGAGGAGGAGGAGGAGGAGAGAGGAGGAGAGAGGGAGGAAGAGGAGGAGGAGGGAAGGAGGAGGGAGAGGAGGAGGAGGAACATGATGAAGATGATGATGGTGATGGTGATGATGATGATGATGATGACGATGATGATGAGGAGGAGGAGGAGGGGAACGAGGAGGAGGAGGAGGTGTGGAGGAGGAGGAGGAGGAGGAGGAGGAGGAGGCGGAGGAGGAGGAAGGTGTCAGGGGGAAAGAGGAGGACGAG